CCCCCCACCTCCTTTTTCCTTCTTTGAATAAGATCTCACCAAACAACACTTGTGAATAAAGGAAAATTCCCATAATGAATACTATCCTGGGTAATTTGTAGAGCAAATATCTTGAGTGAAATATATCTTTGCTAATGATTACATATCAGTTTCATCACATGCTGAGCTGCGTAATGCATGTACCGATGATAGTACAATTTCATTTACACTGCTTCTAACACATCTTGTGTGGAAATAAATTTGTGACTCTAGTACCTGGGTGTTTTCCTCAGGCATTCTTGGAGTTCCAGGATGAGGCCAGTGCCATTAGCATGGTCAGCTATTTCCAGGCCAACCCTGCACAAGTCCGGTTCAAGCCAGTATTTGTTCAGTTTTCCAACCACAAGGAACTCAAGACTGATGCTTCTCACGCTTTTCAGGTACACAATCTTTGCCAGTTTGTCCATTTTTTAAAAATATGCCATGAGTTATATTGTGCATTGTATTAATCCGAATACAGGAAAAAGAGGCTAAAAAAACAGCACCTGGACATGGCTGGGCTAATTAAACTTACTATTGGGTTGGTTATTAAGACACAAGACTATGGTGGTGGTTGTTTGAATCGGTTTTGGAATCTGTGTTTTGTGGCACAGTTTTAGATTCCTATCTCTAGAAAACCCTAAAAGAAATTCTGAAAGAGGTGTAACAAAAGAATGGCACATTCGGATGTCTGCAGCTCATACTTTTTGACTGCTGATATAATGATGTTTTCTTCATGGTAGCCTAAACTGTATTGAAAAGGGTGTAATAAAAGCCCAAGTTGATGCCGATGTCTACAATGAGTGTTACACATCATGCTCATAGTGTCATGATGAAAAATCAAGAATTTGACCCCCCACCCCCCCACCCCATTTGAAACTTGTCTGAACTTTCTTTACCTCTACACACACACACTCCCCCACTCTCCTCCGCATTAGAAATTTAGCATATGTTGATTCAACGCTATTCTTGTAAGACATTTTAAGTGGCTCTAAGAATGGGGGTCAAAATATACCTTTACCAAAGTTGTCATGTCTCTTCACACACAGAACGCCAACGCACAAGCGGCTCTCCAGGCTGCATGTGTTGTCATGGGATCTGAGGAGCAGTCAACCATCTTGAGAGTCATTGTCGACAACGCATTTTACCCAGTTTCCCTAGAAATTTTACATCAGGTAATTCATGTGTTTCATGAATATATTGATACTGTATGTCCCAAAACTTTTATTTCATCCTCTTCCTCCTCCTTCTCCTCCTCCTCCTCCTCCTCCACCTCCTCCTTCTCCTCTGCTTTGTCTTCTTCTTCCTCCTCCTTCTCCTCCTCCTTCTCCACGTCCTCCTTTTCCTCCTCCACCTCCTCCTCCTCCTCCTCCTCATCTTCTTCT